ACCGGTTTTTCAATATTCAAGGCAATTCAATATTTGGGAATCAATTCAATATTATCGAAATTATAATGTTTACGTGTATCATTTGTATTAGAAGTTTTATCTTTTAATATGTTTATCAAACAACAGGAGTCAGGAAGTAATAGAATTTGTCAGGTATTATTGTACATATATAATTCTCAATATACGATTTCATTAAATGGAAGTTCCATTGTATTAGATTATACTCGTTTAAATTATATATGTTGTATTTTTTTAAATAACGAGTAAAACCTGTTGAACTCTTTAAAATCTTGTAATTTCATATGTCCAACGCCTATTATAGCAGCCAGCAGGTACCTGCTATAATATGTATAATATATATATTTAAATATGTATTAATTATTAATTTAGAATGAACAGGTATAGAACAATACGAGTTTCAATAGGTAATGTTGTTTTTGACTTAATTTCCTGGAAATCGTATCTAGTGATGTTTCAATGTTTRATGGGCTTGTTGAAGATGTCGTAATGCATACAAGTAAATACTAAAATCAGAAATCAGATCGACAAAGTTTATAAAATCGAAATTCACATTGATAGTATATACAGTTTAATAAAAAAATATAAACAATTATTATATAGGTAATTACTAATTAGTAATTATCATTAAATCATAACTGAAAACGATGCCAAAGTACCTAGCTACTATGAAATTCACGCGCGTATTATTGGCAATGTTGGTTCACTGTTCGCGAGGTGGTGGCAGTGGCGGCACCGGCGCGCGGGTGAAATATTGACATGTTTTCCGTACCGTGTACGCGCTGCAGCCCACAGACAGTATACTCAGTGGCGTGGCGCCTGTCCGCGGAGTAACGCCTACTTGCTGGTAGTCCATTTCGTAGTTTTAGTTTTCATAATTTATATCGATCGTTGCTGTGGTTTACCCTATCGTCATTACCCACAGTTCGTGTTAGTATCGTGTTCGTCAATTTGTTTGTTTATTCTTCCAACAGAAACTTAGTTAGGTACACGGCAAAATGTCGAAAAACGTATACCTCCCGTATAGCGCAACATCTGAGAAGGCTCACATCAAGTCTATGGAACAGTACCGGGAAATGCACAAGAAATCATTGGAGTCGAGTGCACAATTTTGGTCAGAAATCGCATCACAATTTCACTGGGAAACTCCGTACGACATCAACAACTTTTATTCGTACAACTTCGACGTGACCAAAGGGCCCGTGCAAATCAAATGGATGGAAGGCGCCACTACAAACGTGTGCTACAACCTACTGGACAAGAATGTGCGAAACGGGATGGGTGACAAAGTAGCATTTTACTGGTAAGTTCACCTGACMATATAATAATATTATTATAATTTTACTAATAAATTAGGTAAATTTTTCAAAAAAACAAATGTTTTTACATCGTTATAAATGTACTTATACAATAAATACAAATAAACATAAATAAATATCTTCTATACTACCTTGATGTCTGATCGGTCTCTAGAAAAATATTTTGTTAATTGTAGTAGGCGTGGTTTTAACCTAGGTTCAGATGTTCTATAATGGAGGGCTCCCTTGGTTTTATTTAGATTACTGTGTAGGACATTTTTGTATTGGTAAATTATCCATGTTTATAGATAGGCAAACAGTTGTCTATTTCGCATAAATCTAGTAGCTTTAAGCACTATTTTCAGGAATTTGTTTTAGAAAATTTGCAATTTTTACTTGCGTTTTTTATTTTGTATTATTCTAATCTTGGATTCACTTTAGGTGGGTATCAGGGTTTGTTTCCAACTTGAGAACCACAGGAATAATTTGTCAAGATAAATGTGTAGACATTTTACCATTTACAAGGGTTGTTACATGATTATTGTATTACTTTTCGGGTAACATTTTTGGATCGGATCTGTGAAAGTGTGAAAATCATCATAAACTAAATATAATTACGAATGCCTATTGAGTGTTTACCTATTGATACCTATTATATCGTTATAATATAATATAATATATTATACAATAAACTCGATATAATTATTGATCAAAGTATTATACGAATGCCCCGATCCTGGACAACAATGTCCTATATAAATATTTTCATTTTCATCGACGTTCAATGTTCATAAATATTAATGAGCGAATGAAAAAACTAGTTATACCTACCCACTAGGTTATTATTTATTACCTACACACTTTTCTTGGCTAATACATGTGTCAGGAATAAAACTAACCTAAACTAATGTAATATCTATAGCTTATAATAACTCCCTGATATAGGTCAATTGTGAGGTATTATATTTGATTCAGATATTAAGTTTGATACCGATTTATAAATGGTACCWACACAATCTTTACTATTTTAGATGCCTATGATGGTATGGACTAGTTTCTTAAAAATTATTATATTAACTTAACAGTATAAAATTGTTTAATCAACTTATCTTGTTAATAGATGATTAAAAATTTAAAAAATGAAAATACGATTTGTTGATTTGTATATTGACATTATGCATTACAAATTATATTATTTTATAGCCATATTATTTGCTCACTGTTGGTTAAATTGTATAGTTATTTTATTACAATTCTTCATACAAATGTAAAAAGTATATCGTACTTATTATTAATATATTCTTTATCTAACGGCGATAAATATTATATTGTTATTTGTTATACTCCACAATGATAAAATATATGATAAAGTAAATATAAATATTTATGTACCATCATAAAGTATACCTACTTAAAAATCAATGAATTAATTAGACACCTATCTAGTACCAGCTATATTAAATTAGCTTTTAATTATTATTGTTTTTGTTGCTAATATTAAATCGATAGTAAGGCAATACCTCACTGTTTAACCAATAGAAAATATGAAACCTTAAAATTCAACCATATTATTATTATTATAAACATTAGTATATAATAYCATTTATTTRAATTTTAAATTTAATAGTTTTAACACAACACCGAAAAAAACATATTACGATTATACATTTATACATTATTGAGGAATGAGGGATATCTTTGGATTTATTGCCTACCTACCTACTTTTTTTTATTTAAAAACTTCGCTTTAAATCATTATAGATTGAAATTCATAATTTTCACTTAAAGTAATAACATCATATATCTACTCATAGATTTAGAAATAGAAGGTTAACTAGTTAATCTTATTACTACAGTTTCGTGTTATTAAATAATTTTGTTTATTTACTTACTTGATTGCTTACTTTTATTAAATCTTCATGGTCATTTTTAATTCATAAGCGAACAAGTAGTACTAAACTTGCTTGGAGTAGAAATAAAACAACATACCCATACTTAAATTTACGTTTATTATTTTTATMTTAACTACCTAAAACTAGTACCTACTTGTTTGTTATCGTCTCGCAACTGAGCCCCGCACCAAGGCCAAGTCTTTAATCTAAAACCATATAGTACGCTACATTTTTCCTATACAACGAAAATCTATGAATCATATGGTATATGTTTTTGTTAATAAGTTACCATGTCAACGAAATCTTAAGAAAATCGGCCAGAAAAAAAAACATGTATCATCTAGCTTAAAAATATAATTTAATATTCATGTTCATTATTATTTCTCTGTATCTCGCCATCTTACGTGTAATAAATATAGAATAGCTCTAGTGTAGATCTAATGATCTATGTATGAATTTTAATATTTTATTATATTACCTATTATATAATATTGTTAGTACCTCTATGTTGTGGGCTTGTATCTAAATTGTATGTGTAATGTTTTAAATGCGTAATTATCTTACAAAAGTTATAAACTTAATTTTTAAAAAATATTTAAAAATAATTGTTAAAGAGTTATTCCTCGTATTTTTAATATATTGGCATTAAATGTTTACAACCAAAACATACCATTAAAAAAACAAATAAATATTATGACGTTTAGGGATTTTTAGGATAGGACTATTTTGTTGTGTTTATTGCTTAATTTAAGTGTAAATAAGAAATATTATTTACTTTTAGATGAAAGCTTTGCAACGGTAACAATATATAACAGAAATAACTTACTAATGCAATTTATTTTGTTATAATCTGTATATTATAAGACACTTGTTAAAAATGTATAGTAGGTACACCTACATGTTTTTCATTTTTATTTCCTGAAACTGAAAATGAAAAATTTTAAACTTAATCCAAATTATTACGGAAAACTCTAGATTGCCAATTTGTAAATCTGATTATAAGAACAATATTTATGATAAAAACATTCATCTAAGTCAAGCAGTTTATTTTTTAGAATTTTTAATTTTCAGTTTAATTTATTTTTTAACTTTATATTATAATTTTTCACAATTTTTGTCACACTTTTAACTAGAATCAATTTTTTGTAAGTTCTTTTATTACCTACTTACATAAAAAATATCCGAATAAAATAGATGGTCTCCAAGTAGCAAGGCAATAAAACCAACTAGGTATCGTTAAATTATAATAATTACCTGAAAGAGGGTTTATTTAGTTTTTACTAACATAATTTAATTAATAAAAAAGTCGTCAAGTAGGTAACCGCTATGCTAAGTAGATGTACGCCTGTAGAGTATAGGTGTTGAAATTGTTGAATGTAACTCGTCATTGTGTCACAGTAAGGTAGTTAAACGTTAAATTTTAATCCAATGATACCTTACGATAACGAAACCTTTCTGAGCGAATTAAGTACCATTTTAGATTAGGTACCAAACAATTATTTGTATTATGATATTACAATTTTAACAAATGTTCGAATGTTTTCGTTATTACCAATTATTTTGAAAAGTAATGGGTTTTTTAATTAATAAAGCGGGCCAATATAAGCTACATTCGATTTTCTACCAGAAAAGACCCTTAAAATTGAAAATCTAAGCATTTTATCTGCTATAAAACTAACATTAATTTTAACATAAAATAACTCACTGGTCTGAATAAACTGCAGAGTACTGTATAGAATAATTATTATATGTTTATCTAAATATTAAAAAGCATATGGTGTTTAATGTTTAATTTTTAGATAGGTGTAATAAAATTAATAAAATATTATTGATCTAAGAGAATAACTGCATGCGATGTTGTCTGATTGTCTCCATCTTACAACATAGCTTATTCAATATTCGCATTCGTCAGTCTATTTTATTAGTTCTAATATTAAGACGACATGATACGACATGATCGGGAAAAAGTTCYCGTTAAAAAATGCCCACACTAGGAAAAAAAGTTTAGTGAAAAATATGCCTATAAAATGTACATAATACCCAGTATTGTAAATTGGAATTGGTCCTGGGGTGGAATAAAGTTTGTACTATCGTCCTGACGGGAGGATATTCCCCCATGCAGTGGGAATTCGAACATTAAATTAAATAAATCATAGTATTATATTAATTCAAATTAAATGAGGTAAATGGTATAATAATGGTTTTCAAAGTTATATTTTAAGTATGAGCCGTACAATTTTCTTGTCATATATTTTAATTGTTAAGGTATCATAGTTTTAAACTATAGTGAAAATCTCAAGTATGATAATGTCCATGACTTCTTATTTTAACATCTTAAAATCTTTTAAAGCCAATAGTACTTATAGAAATTTAATCATGGTTATTTWAAAAAAAGCTTTTTTGAGTATATATGCATTTCCATATCCCCCCATAATACTGATAATACCACTTAAGTTGGAGAGGGCATCAAACGAATAACATGTCTGAAGGGTGGAATAACTAATTTTCAAAACTTTGTAGACATAAGCATCCGACTATTTGGAAATTAATTAGAAAAATAAAAATGGAAATTTCCGCAGATGAAGCGAAATTAACTTGAGATGCTGAAGGAGATTTGAGAAGTATTAAAAAACCAGGAAAAACTTGAACCGTGTAGAAAAAACGTCTTCAAAACTTATGTATACAAATTCAAGTGGTCAATATCGATGTGTTAGAATTTTTAACAGCCAAAGTAATAACCTAAGAAAGAGGTGTAGGTACCTAATTAAAATATTAACTTTTAATCATAAAAAGCATTATCATAAAAAATATATAGGTACTATAATTTGTATTATTTTTAATAAATTTACTTATTGTCTAGTGTGGGAACTTTTTTATCTGGACTTTATTTTCCGCAATTCATGGCATACACATGACGTGCAGTCTCTGATTTAAAACCCGTATCATATATGATCTGTATACAGAAAAATTTACGCTCAGCAGATCTCGTTTAGATCCATTAGTTTAAAAACTAGGGTGAATTTACCTCTTTTAAAATTTAAAGGTAAGAGTATTATTTCGGCGACCTCTCGGACTTTTTAATATATTTTATTTTGAAGCGAGTTATAAGTATT